CTAGGCCAGGTGACTTGAATTCATCAGGGGCACCCAATCATTCTCCTACTATCTCTTTATCCTGAGTATCAACTCCCTATCGATCATTTTTGTCCTGTCATTTCTAGCACAAAGATTATTTTTTTTCCATCAATAAACATTTATTGAATACTTGCCATGCTCAGAACTCAGACCTTCTTCCCTGGCATATGGACACTCCTGCCTGCCCCAACCCCTCAGCTCTCCTCCCTATTTCATTGGCTCCTATCCCCCTTCCTTTTATCGCTCTCTCCCCTCATTCCCTAAAGCTCTGTGTATTACCCTTGACTCCTGACTCAATAAATGTTACACATATCAGGATCACTCGTCCCTGACTGACCCTGGGTAAGTCTTTGAATGTCCTTACATTTCACCTTCTCCACTGGTAAGGCAGGGAATAGAATGAAAACTCCCCAGCTAAGCTCTAAGCTCTTTTTCTTCATCCTCACTTTACCAAGGCCTGGTGTTTGACAACCCACTGATTGAGGTTTGAGGGCATTCCTATTCCTATCCCCACCATACCTCTCCACAACTCAACCCGATATCCCAATTAGACCATAACTAGTGAGACATGGATTTCATTCAGCATATCTCACTGACTCTTGGGAAAGATGGAGGCCAAGAGAGGCCAAGTAGGAAAGACATTTCAGTGCCTAAAAATCAAGAGACGCAGTTTCTAGTCCAAGGTAAGACTACTTACCATCTCCTTAAATTGTCCCTGAATTCTCCTGACAGTACATTTACTGACTTCATTTCCTCTGTCTGGTGTCTCTGCTGCCCCTCTCTCTACCTTTTAAAATCTTTCCCTTGTCCCTTGGGACAACATTTGCCATTTTCCAATCTTGCGGTACCTCTCCCAGTGTCCAAATATCAAGGCCCAGCTCAGGTACTAGCTACTCCCCCTCCTATCCACCCCATAAAGCTTTCCCTGGTCCCCACCCCCAGTTAGAAATGAACCATCCCTTTTATGGATCTTCCCCCTCCCCACACTGTACCTTGTTTGTGACTCTCTTTGGATACTTACTACATACTGTCCTAAATGTGGAGAGACAGATCAATGAGTATCCAATCCTCAGAGCAGGCTTTATCTGCTGGGGAGTTTTGGTAAGCTTCCTTCTGGAAGTATGTGATGATATGGAATGGGGGGTCCCTGCTTCCAATTCAGAGCACACACGGATCTGCTGTGGCTGTTTCCTGTCCCCTTACTTTTAATTGGCTACTGAGCTAGAATTGAGTATACATACAAAGGGCTACAACAGAAAACACAACCTTCCTGTCTGCCAAGAGGTGTAAGGCCAATCCTCTGAGCTCTGGAGGGCCTTCTGGAATTGTACCCTTCCCCCCCAATAGGACAGCGCATGAGCACTTACCTACTTAAGCAAGCCTGTGTCTGTCTGGGATGGAGCCACTACGTTTTTTGTGTCTTCAGTCCTTTGGTACAGAGCCTTTTGAGAACTTGAAGGGTCAGAAGAGCCACCATTGGCTGAGCCTGGAAAAGAACCAACCCTGAAGAGTGATTGACCTGACCCAGTCCAGCCGTGAACCTACCTGGCTGCCAAGATACCTAGCCTTGTAAGCAAGGGAGTGATTTATCCCTTGGCTATGCAGCACCTGGAAATGAGCTTGATGGTGAAAGTACTGGTGGTAACCACTTTAAATGTGAGCTCACTCTCCCAGGGACTAAGATGGTAGAGGGAAGAGTGTGCCCTAGGGGATGGATGTTTGTACTTCCAGTCTTGCTTATCTTCTTATCAAATACCCCTTTGTAAAAGCTAATTGATATTAATTGATACTGAAGAGAAATCAACTGATTCAATTGTTAGTGAGGGGTTCATCTCTGCTTAGATGATACTAGACAAAATGATATTGGGGATTACTCACCAGAATGGGGGTTGAGCTAATAACATTAGAAGAATTCTGCTGCCCTTCAGGGGTAGTTCTGGAACTTGAGGGGCTAGATCCTTTCTCTGCAGACCCCCAACCTGCTAGTGTTGTGTGTGAGTTGTGATAATAAATCCAATCCATAGACTTCAATCTCTCAAGGACCTTTTATTCATTGGAATGGGCACTCCCTCAATTAATACAGACAGTTAACTTATTAATCATTCACTATGTTCCAGTTAGTGTGCTAAGCACTAGGGATTAGAATATAAGCAAGCAAGACAGTCTTTGCACTCAGGGAGCTTATTGAAGTGTGGGAAGACAATAGATAAACTGGCAGCTAGACAGGGTGTGGGGTAGAGGAATGAATGAATCATTTATTAAACACTTAATATGTGTAAAGCACTGTGCTCTCCCCCAGGGTTCCTTGACACTTCAACTTAGGCTGTCTTACCTATGCCATGAATAGTGGTTGATTGGTAGTTGGGGATGGCTGACCCCTTTTCCACCATTACTTCTCAAGGTAATGGTTGTAAGGGAAGCATGATGGGTGGTCTGGGGAAGAGGGTGTGCACTCCCAGGGCTCCTGGGCTTTTTTGTCCGATGGTGTTGGTCAGCAGTTGGTGGTGGTGGTGATGAGAGAGGTGAGTCCCTTCTCCTGTCAATGACAGCTTGCATGCAAGATGGAATAATATGGAGATAGCTGAAGAGTGATGTGGAACTTTGGTTCTGGGCAAGATAAATCAAAACTTGGTGCTCTAGAGGGAGAGTAATGTTTGGGATGAGGTAGACCAGGCCGCATAGCATGGAGATGGCTAGTTTTAACCCTCCATGCCTTAGAAGACAGTTTCATGAGTTACTGTTGCTGTAAAAAAAAATCAAACAACCCCCAAACCCATGACCCAGTGGCCAACATGCTAGTGATATGCTTCTTTTTTTAAAATAAGTTTTTATTGATATTTTTTCTTACATCATCATACTTATCTCAAGTATCCCTTCTGCTACCTCTCCCAGATAGCATATAACAAGTAGTATTTTTTACAGAGGGAAAAACAAAACCAAACCAAACCCAGCACACTGGTTCAATATGTAGAAAAAGTCTAAAAATATTTGCAATGTATAATACCTGTGGACCTCTCATCCCCACAAAGGAGATTAGGGGTGTCGTCTCTTATCTTTTCATTTGAGTCCGGTTTGGTCTTTATAATTTTATTACATTTACTTTGGATTTTTTCATGTGTAGTTTTTCTTTCCATTCACATTGTTGTAGTTACTGCATATGTTGTTTTCTTGGCTCTGCTAATTTTGCTCTGCATCAGTTCATATAGATCTTTCCATGCTTCTCTGTATTCGTCACGCATATCATTTCTTTTTTTTTTAAATTTTTTTGGGGAGATGACTCCACTTCACTCTTTTTTTCTTTTTTTGGCTAGGCAATAGGGTTAAGTGACTTGCCCAGGGTCACACAGCTAGTGAGTGTTATGTGTCTGAGGTCACATTTGAACTCAGGTCCTCCTGATTCCAGGGCTGGTGCTCTATCCACTGCGCCACCTAGCTGCCCTAGAATATCGTTTCTTATAGTAATATTCCATTATATTCATGTGCCACAACATTTAGCCATTCCCTAATTGATGGGTATCTACTTTGTTTCCAGTTCTTAGCTATTACAAAAAGTGTTGATATAAATATTTTGGATGATATAGGGACTTTCTTCTATTTTATGGTTTCCTTGGGGTACAAACCCATTAATGGAGTCTCAGGTTCAAAAGGCACAGACATTTTAATCACTTTATTTGCATAATTCCAAATAGCTTTCCAAAATGGTTTGCTATTTCACAGCTCCACTAACAATGTATTAGTGTGCCTATCTTTCTACAACCCTTTCAATATTATTGACATTTCTTGACATTTTTGCCAATTTGCAGGGTATGAGGTGAATGAAACCTCAGGGTTGTTTTGATTTGATTTCTCTTATTATTAGTAATTTAAAGCGGTTTCGTATGGTTGTGAATACTTTACAATTCTTTTGAGAACTGTTTGTTCTTATCCTTTGACTTCAATGATATACTTCTTAGAATTTAGCTTGGCTGACCCTTAGGCAGCAATCACATCACCGAGCCCATTGTGGAGGACACTGCCTTGTACTATGGTTACTTGCATTTATTGTTTTACCCTTTACCGGATTATAGTCTTGATGGGATCATAGATTTGGCTTTGAAAGTGAATTTTGGAGTCATCTGTTCCAAACTCCTTTGATTAACAGATAAGGAAATAGAGGCCTAGGCCTAGGTGAAGTGCTTTACCTAAGGGTAAATGGCAGGGTTAGAATTTAGAACTCAAGGTGCAGGTAGGTGGTGCAGGGGATTGAGTACCAGCCCTGAAGCCAGGAGGACCTGAGTTCAAATGTGACCTCAGACCAAACACTTGACACTAGCTGTGTGACTCTGGGTGGGTCGCTAAACCCCAACTGCGTTAAAAAAAAAATATTTAAAACTCAGTCCACAGACTATAGAATTTTCCCTAAATGTTTTATCTCCTCAGACAATTTAGTAAACTAAATAAACAACTAATATTACTGAATCATCTAGAGCTGGAAGGGTTCCCTGAGGCCCTCTGTAACAATTCCCTCATTTTGCAAAAGAAGAAGCTGAGGCCGAGAGACTTGCCCAAGGGTCATACAAGTGGTTAGCAGAATTTGAACCCAGGTCCTCTGACTCTGGAGTGATGGGTACCCTTTCAACTTTGAGCTAAGTTCCTATTGTCCCAACCCAGCTGTGTGACCTTCGCGTAAGTCGCTTCTTTTCTCTGCGCCTCACTTTTCTCATGTGTAAAAAGCAGAGGTCACACTCAACGACCTCAGACCGCCCCAGCTGGGCCAGTGTAAGTACGGTTGTAAGAAACCTGGGCTGGGGGGGAGAGGGGGCCCTCCAGGAAGGGGGCGGGGCCTGCTACTCCCACCTGCTCTGGTCGTGGCCCCGCCCCTGCCCAGCCCCCAACGCTTTACGGCCCGCTCTAACTCCCGCGAAAAAGACTCTTGTCGTAAAGAGGCGCCTCCCTCCTTTCCCTCTCCCCCGTCCCCTCCCTCCCTCTCTCCCTCCTTCCCCCTCCCTCCTCTCAGCCGCCCCGCTCCGCCTGCGCGGCCCGCCAGCTCCTCCCCCCTCCTCCCTCCTCCTCTTCCTCCTCAGGTAATGGCCCCAGTTGCAGCCTCGAGCGTGGCCAGCTGCGGGCGGGAGGGGGGGTGGGGGTGGCGCGGAGGAGCGCGAGGCCGGGGGTGCGGGGGAGCGGGGGAGCGCGAGGCTGGAGGCGCGAGGCGAGAGGCGGGCGTCCTCCCGGGCCGGCCTCGCGGTGGGGGGGGCTGAGGGGTGTGTGGCGCCCGGAGCGCGCCGCTTCTTCCCGGGCGTGCGGGACCCTCCCGCCGGCCGCCAGCTGTTCTCCTCCGCCCCGACGCCGCTTCGTCCTCCGTCTCCCTTCCTCTTCTGTCTCCTCATCGCCCCATTCTCATCCCTCGCCCTTAGTCCCCGCACCCCTTCTTCACTCTCCCTTTCCTCTCATCACCTGAACCTGTTCATCCCATCTGCTTTCCCTTCATCCCCCCATTCCCATTCCTCAGCCCCTAAACTTCTCTATCGCTTATCACCTTTCCCCCGTTCCCATCCCTCTCCCCTCCCCTCCTAAACCACCCTCTTCATCCACATCCCCTCGCCCTTTCTATCACAACCCCTTGTCCCTCTCAGCCCCTGAATCTTCCTCTTCATCCCCATCCCTTCATTCCTTATTCCTATCCCTTTCCCCTACCTCCTCAGCCCCTAAACCTCCCTCTTCATCCCCATCCCCTTTCTCCTCAGCCCCATTTCTATCCTTCGCCCCTCAACGCCTTCAGCCTCTAAACCTCCCACTTCGTTTTCTGTCTCCTTTGTCCCATTCCCCTCCTTCTCCACTCATTCCCTAATTCCACCATCTTCATCCCTCTTCCCTCACCTCTTATCCCCCTCTTCCCCCTCTTCATCCCTTTTCCCATCATCCTGCTCCCCTCATTCCCTAATCCTCCCTTCTCATCCCTGTCCCTATTCCTCTCTCTCCATCCTCCTATTTCTGTCTCCCTTATTCCCCCTCACATTCCCTAAACCTCCTCTAATCCTTCAACGCCCTCCTTCTCCCCTCATTCCCTTATTCCCCTTCTCCGTTCTTCTTACCTCATTCTTTAATCCCCCCTTCATTCCCCATCCCCCTTCCTCTGTCCCCCATTCTATGCCTTTTTCCTTTATTCCTTTTCTCACCCCCATTCCTCTTATCTAATCCTTAGCTTCCCAGTCCCATCCCTCTCTCATGATCCCCTAATCTTTTTTCCTCACCCCCATTCCCGTCCCTCTCCTCATTCTTTTATCCCCCTTCTTTCTATCCCCTTTTTCATCCCTGTCTTTTCCCTTCATTCTGTAATCCCCCTTTCTTATCTCATTCTCTAATTCTCATCTCCCCCATCCCTCTCTCCTTATTCCTTTATCTCTTTTCTCCTCAACTCTTGTACTCATCCCTACCCATTTCCCATTCCCCCCAAGTCATTACCTCATCCCTCTCCCCACATTGTTTTATTCTCTTTTCCTTCATTCCCTCTCATACTCTCATCTCCTCATCTCTCTCCCTTTATTCATCTCTCTTATCCCTCTCGCTCTCCTCCTCCTATCCTTTTACTCTTTTTCTCTCCCTTTCCCCCCCAACCCCTCCAGTCCCAGCTTCTGCCTGGATAGGAAAAGCTAGTTTTCTGTGCCAGGCAATGCCTGAACAAAGCCCAGCCCCAGAGCACTTTGTACCAGCAGCCATAGCAGAGATAGGAGACAGCAGCTGCCACCGCCTTGTGCCCCATGCTTGTGCTTTCCCACCCTTCCCTAGGTTAGCATCAGACAGCTGTATGGCAGGAGGATGGCAGAGGACAACCAAAGGGTGGATTATCTGGCTGGGTTTTGCTGCCCAGTTGGGGGTCTGGCTGCAGGCAAACCCAGGGTGCTGTGCCATGAATCAGAAATCTACCTCTCCAATGGGAGTGAATTCGTCTATATCTACAATCAAGAGGGAAAGCTGCTAAATGTAAGTATCCCAGATGCTCTGATGCACCTCCAGGTCTGATTATATGTTCTTCATAGATGCTTAGATTTAGAACTGGAGGGGGCCTTAGAGGCCATGGAATCTAGCCCATTCACTCATTTTACAGATGAGGAAACTAAGGTCCGGAGGTGTTAAATGATTTGCCCAGGGTCATACAGCTAGTCAGTGTCTGAAACAGGATTTGAACTCAGGTCTTCTGACTCAAATCTAGTGTTCTTTTCCATGGTACCATGCTGCCTTTCATTGGCCTTCAGAAATATGGGTAAAGTTTCTGTATTTATAAATGGCGTAAAAATGAATGTGTCTTTCCTGATAATTGCTGGATTCATATCTTTCTCCTAATGAGTCACAAAGCTCTCTCCTTCTGTCCCTGGTGACCAGCTGCACCCCTCACTCTACACACATGGCCTCCAGCCGTTCATTAAATGCATGTTCTGTGTTCTTGTTCAAGCAAATGTGGCATGTTTAACTTTAAACATTGTTATTCTTAACTCTTTCAGAAAAAATTCAAAGTTAAGTTGTGTGTGAAGGAGGGAATTTTTGTCTTGTATCAAACAACATATTGGAAGAGTGATATAACCTAATGTCTTGCCCTAGAGAGGATAACAGGAGGGAGTTATATTGAGCTTAAGGGTTAATAAGGTATATTTTCTATGGGACTGGTATAAAAAGTCAGGTTATTTGTGCTTTATGTTTATCTAATGGGCTCATTCTTTTCACATCTAGGCTGTATATAGGTTTCCTGATCAAGTCTGGCATCTGGAGCTCCTTGCCTTACGCAGGGAGCTCTATGTCCTGTGTGCTCGAAATGGCATTTACTGTTTATCACTGGACCCTCAAAGCAGGTGAGGTACAGGTGTATCCCCAGAGGTGTAATGGTTTCTGACTTGGCCAGAGAATTTACTAGCAGGAATAGTAACTCGCTTTCTGGTATATATCTTTTAACATGTTTGAAATGACACCTGACATCACTCACCCAACTGAGATGCTGTTTGATTTGCACTTTCTACCTCAGATGAACGTGATTAAAGGTAGCAGACCACCAATGGACTCCATACTATATCCTCTCTACTCAGACTTCCTTAACTCCATGCTTTTGCAAATATTCTGCCTCCCCTCAAGCTGTGGCTCAGAATAAGAACTACAGTGGTCAATCAGGAAAATTTATCCTTTACTTTTGGGCACCAGTCCATATCTAAAGTGTTTTCAGCCTCTGTTCATCTGACTGTCTGTACTTATTTATGTAGAACTTTTCCCACTCCCACCTTCTGGACCACCTGTGACAGGGCAGCTCTTTTGGTTTTCCTAGACTCTTTGCTCTACCCAAGAAGTTTAGGAGGTGTCATTCAGGTCGGTAGAGTCTGGAGAAGGCAAACAACTTCATGGCTGGCATCAGACTTCTCTGTCTTTGGCCTTGATGGTTCCTTTACTTCTCTGGTATTGGTATGATGACTGTGAGATATATCTCCAGCAAAAGGTGATCCAAAAATAGTTACTCATAACTCCTTGAAATTTTTGTATTCAGGTAAGTCTTGTCTGTGAGAACTGAGGACCTGACATGGCAAGACACAAACTATTCACTTTTTTTTTTCATTAAGTCTTTAATATCTGAATTGTTGTTTGGGAAGAAGACAGGCACAACACTCAATTGGCCAGTTATAGGATAACATATTTTCTATGGCAACAATATGGGAGAATGAAGATAGTTCCTTATTGCCATAGGTAATCAATACACCTAGGATTTTTTATGGCTAATTTAGCTCAAAATTTTCTTTGTTGATGCAAGTTTTGTACAACTGATTATCATGAGAGAAAATATAACAGGAACCTATTTCTTCTGAATAAATAGGTAAACTGTCATTGACATCAAAGGTTAGCTGTGGATTCAGTTTCTGGAATGTTTGCTCACCCACACATGTAATGTGTCCACTCATGAACCCATAGTTCCATTAATTTCAAGGAGAAGTGGGAAGATAGTCTGACAGAGCTGCCCAAGGGGCTACTTCATTGTTGTGCTTCCAGAAAGACTTGCTATGTTGCCACTACTTCACCTGAAAGACACATTCAGGAGGGTTGACTATAAAAAGTCCCCTACCTAGACATGTGCTTGATAAGGTGCTTCTAAGCACCATCCTTTCCTCTTTAGCTTGTTAAGAGGGTGTACAGGCTGCAAGCTCTGGGCCTTTGTCTTGACTGAAAGCTTTTCCCTGTTTGCTTGAAGGTTGGTGGACCAGACTGATGGAGAGGACAAAGAAAGTGATTTCCCTTCAAATGTGTTTCCTGTGGACTCAGACTCCTGTGTCTTTCCTGATGCTACTCTGTGTGCTTTCACGGTGCTGAATGACATCATCATCACCCTGGCTCAGGGCCCATCCAAATGGAGGATGAGACTGTTTGAGCAGCCCCAAGGCTCAGATGGGGATCCTAGGCCAGGGAGCCAGTTCAGTGAGGTGGAGTTCTCTACCTGCATTTTGCCATCAGGGAGCAATGGGAAACCCCTGGCCTCTCGTTTCCTCCCAGTCCTGTGCTGTGCGTCCCCTCCAGGCACCAATGTTCTTCACACACCTTGGTGTAGTTCTGGAGGTTTTGTGCTAGAGGAGACCCTCTTTGGTTTGCTGTTTGGAGCAGATGCTACCCTTCTGGAGTCTCCCATGATCCTTTGTGGTTTTCCAGATGGTCAGCTGTGCTGTGTGCCGTTGAAGGCCCTGTTATCTCCTGAGGTGGCTCTTGGTGGCCCTGAAACCCCTGTCAAGATACTTCACCACTTAGAAGAGCCTGTGGTCTTCATTGGAGCTCTAAGAACAGATCCAAGGATCCTAGAAGACATGGATGAGAAACCACTAAATGAAGATACAAGCTGTGACTGTATGGTTGCTGTTGGTCACTATGGCAAAATGATGGCCATTAAGTCCAGTCGGGAAGAAGGAGGAAACTTGGTGCCAGAACTAAGAGAATACTACATTAGGGGACCTATTCTCTGTGCTGCCTGTGGTGTGGGAAGCCGAATGTATTACAGCACCCATTCTGATCTTTCTGTGGTTGACCTGGCTTGTAACAGCAACCCCTCAGATCCTGAGAAGATAGATAATGCCCAGGGGGTCCTACCTCCAGTTCTGTCTCCAGCCAGTTTAAGTATCTGTAGCGTTGTGACCCTTTCTGTGTCTTCTAGGGCACCTAAAGGTACTGGCAACTATTTAAAGATAAACCATGTGGTTTCAGGCCCCAGTGTGGGGCCTAACCCACAATTTTACTATCTCAGTGAAGTTGTTGGTAGATCCATCTTTCACTTGCTTATTCTATTCCATCCCTTCCTGTAGCTTCAATTTTACCACCATCTTTCACACCCTTGTTGTTAAATCACTTGTCTTATCTCAGGGAGTGTTGATTTAACATTAAAGAAAAGGTTGATTGTATTAAGTATGGAACTTGAATAGTGTTAACTACTTTCTGCAAAACTCCTTCCTTTATATTTTAATTCTTATCATTAGTGTTGGGAGAAGGGGCTTGTCTTTGCTTGGTTTTGACCCTTGGCTGTTTGATAGATTACTCACTTGGAGCCTGTTGGAGCCAGGTCATTTGCAACAGACAGTTTAGGATAAATTCAGGTTGACCTTGAGGCTTTTAGTTTTCTTTTGAAAGTTGAAGAAGCAACTGGTCTAGTCATCAAATGACCTGCCAGTAAACCACTCTGAAGTAGAGATGTGGGAAGCAAGGAGTTCTACTTTTGTGGGTATGTTTTCCACTAAACAAAACCAGAGAAGGTTTGAATTGTGCTTTCCTAATATAGGGGAAAAGTAATGGAGTGATCATTTCCATTGCCACATTTTTCATTAAGGTACCTTGTGAGTGTGCTTTAGAGGTAAAAGCCAAAATTGTCTTTCTACTACTGGGAGAGAAAAAAGAATGGCCAGAGAAGAGAATACCAAACTAGTGAAGACATATGTATTTGTAACCTGTTAGTATACCATTTTTTTTCTTTTTGCTGGGCAATGGTGTTAAGTGATAGTATACCTTTTTAACAATGAAAAATAAGGCTACTTAAGATGTTGACCCCAAAACAGCCTTACTGTAATATGCTATTTGCTTGAGGAAATGTGCAGAATGTTATTTATGAACAGAAAGCTTAAGTATACAAAGGGATACTCTTTGGAAAACTCAGAAAAAAATCATCTATTTGAAAATGTCTTCCTTTTGACTTCTTGAGGAAGTCTGTCAAAAGTTGCCTGTTCCCTTTGACCTTCTTTGGTGGCTGTCTTCCTTGGCCTTCCTATGCCTATACCCCAACCATCAAATGAGATTTAGGGCTTGAAGTGGAACAAGGGCTGGGAGACAAGCAATTTCTTCAAAAGGAACAAGATCTTGTTTGCCCCAAAGCATCCCTGACAGACAGTAAAGGAGATTGGAAAGGAAACAGAACTATGGTAAAGAGACAGAGCAGCTTTCAGAAAGTCACCTGCCCCTCACTACAAGGGCTGATGAAAGGCTCTCAGCAGGACTTTGCTGTATCTTCTCTGTTCTCTTTGGAAATGCTGCAACATTGTTCTCTATACCCAGTCTTACATTGCATAGTACTGTCACTATGTTGTGTTGTATGTGTTTGTTGTTTTCCTTGTGAATTTTCTTAGCTGTTTTTTTCTGTTCATTGTAGTCAGATTAACATCCTTATTGCCATTTCTCTACCAGAGTGACCTTACTTTTCTTGGGAGGGTGCATTTGGGATCTCCAGAAATTTCATTTCAGCAAAGATTGTTTAACAGAAATGTATACTTATTATTCTGCCTGGGGGTGGGAAATTTTTATTCCTGGTCTCTGGGCAAGGTACCCTTATCTGTCCCAGAAGAATGGCCTTTCTTTGTCAATAGCTTATTGGTTTTTTGCTAGCATGTATCCTGGTGGTCAAGAGAGAATGTTGGGTGTCTGAGATGTTGCTTCCTGTCTGCTTATCAGGTTCTAACCATATGCATGTCATATATCAGGTGAAGCAGAACTATTGGCCCTGTCTGCCAAGGGCCGACTAATGACCTGCAGCCTGGATCTGAGTTCTGAGGATTCTCGGCCAGTGAGGATGAACACAGGAAATGTGGGTCAAAAAATTAAGGAATTACTCTCTGGAATTGGCAATGTCTCTGAGAGGTAAACATGTCTCCTTAGCTACTGGTGCAGATATAAATGTTAGTCTAATAAAATGTATCCTATCACTCATATTCATCATTTAGGTCTGTTTTAATGCATATTGGTTTTGCCTCTGGCTTAATTTTTAGAATACTGAGCATTGCCATTGGCTGGACAAAATGCTGCATAAATTTGTAGTTTGAGCAGTTGGGAAGCCAGGCTATCTCAGGAAAACAAACGAATCCTTCTCTCTGTCATAGATAACAGCCATACATCCTTCCCCTGATAGGAGAGAAGAGGATACCCTTAAACCCAGCTAGTCTTTCCTCTCAGTTCTATCATTCAGCTTGGAGGTGACGTGTTAAAGGAATATGTGCTTTAGATGTTTTCATATCTCTTTCTGATTTTACCAGGGTATTATAAAGACTATCTGAACCACAGGTGCAGTTGTTTTGAATTATTTCTGTAGCTTCCCACTGCTTTCTTTAAAATTTTTTTATCATGAACTTAAACATCAACAAATATGAATATTCCTATCTACAAAGAAAAACAAAAAAGAGATTTGTACTGTATATGAAACTGAACTTCTGTTACGTACAATTTGTTTTTTTCTCCTACTACATACATCTTGCTGAGTTTTTTTGGTATAATTCATATTTAACATAGTTCCGATACTACCCTGTTTGTCTGTGTCTGTTTCTGAACTTCCTTCCCACTACTTTCAGTGTTGCTACTTGTACAGCTTCAAAAAGTAAAATGGGCCAATTGGGAACATTTTGGTGAACATCAGGGTGGAGGATGAAACATAATTTCAGTCCCATTGAAGGTGTTAATTAACATCAGAATTGCTAGTTAACTGGCCATATATGGGGGTGGTGGTGGTGGGGTGTGTAAAATTTGAACTCGGCAGATCTGGCAGTAGGTACTGAATAGTTAGAGTAAAAACACCAGGCTCTCTGGTGGTTGTTTTCAATTATGTTTTGTATAGGGACTTGCGCTATCCCTGGCTTGGGAGATGGGACATCTTGTGTGGGAGTTTAGAGCTTTTTTTGGTAAATTGATTAGAAAGACTTTGTGTAACAAACCAAGTATTCTTCTTTCTATAGAGTATCTTTCCTGAAGAAGGCAGTTGATCAGCGGAACCGTGCCCTGACTTGCCTCAATGAAGCCATGAATGTGAGCTGTGCCCTTCTATCCAATCGGGAAGGACCAAAGCCCATTAATTGTACCACCACCACTGCCTGGAGCCGCTTTCAACTCCGGGATGTGCTGACAGCCACTTGTTTGCTTGAGAATAGTAGTGACTACAGTCTAGACCAGGGGTGGACCTTTTGCATTCAGGTGTTTACTAGTTCTTGTGCCTTAGAAGTGGACTCTGTTGGTTCTGCCATCACTTACACCATTCCAGTTGATCAGCTCACTCCTGGCAGTAAAAGGGAAGTGACATTACCACTTGGCTCCAATGAAAATGGCAAACTAGACCTACCTGTGACCATATCCTGTGCACTATTTTACAGCCTCAAAGAGATTCTGGGCAGTGCTTTAACCTCTTCAGATTCTCTGGATGCCCCTTTTTTTGATGACTGCCCCCCTGACATCCTACCTGACCGGGATGGTATCTTCCTGCCCCTGGGTGAATACACTGTGGACATGCTCCAGTGCCTTCGTTTCCCTACCCTTGCAGTGGCTGAAGTGCAAGTTCCAGGCCTTCCCAGTCCTACCAGTGACCCTGTGAAAACCTTTTTAGAAGCTTCCAGGGGGCAAGTAGAGCCTGAACATATGAAAAACATTGAGCCAATGGGACCAGACTTCCTTAGAGCCAAGTACCTTCCACCATCAGTGGCCTCAGTCAAGGTGTCATCTGAGTTGCTCAAAAATGCCCTAAAGGAATATTGCTCAGGTGGGTAATAATGACTGATAATCCTCTCTCTGACCCTGAAAGGACTTCAGAGCCTAAGAAGATTAGATCCATTAAGTCTGTCATCTTTCCTTCCCACCCCATCATTCCTTATTGCATTAATTGCTACTTCCTCCTCTAGTGTGATTAAGGGTTGGGATGCTGCAGATTGGATTGTTACATCTAAACCTCTTTCTCCTTTGGATTTATGTCTTATAGACAGAACTTCATGCCTTCTCTCTCCCATCCTGAACACACCCAATCTTAAAACTCTTTCCAAAAGAATATTAGGCTATTTAAGTACTCAGTCTTCCCTTTTGAAGGAGCTGAGCTTTTTGAACTTTTTAAAATTTTCCGAGTAGACTCTTTTAGCCTGAAAATAGGACAGTAGCAAAGGGAAGGGAGGATTTGAATTGGAAAGCTGTCCTTCATAGGTGTTGGCCACTAAAAGCAATGGGGAGTGTATGTAGCCTTCCCTAAAGTGATAGGTATTCTTTTTTCTACCTTTCCAGAAGTCCCCCTGTGTTGTGCTACTCTCCAGTGGCTATTGGCTGAGAATTCCATAGCGGACATAGTGAAGACACAGGTGCTGACAGAAGTCCAGGGGGTGGCCCCAGATGGAAACGACATCCACCTCCTCGTCCGAGAGGCAAGGAATGGGTTAGCTCACCTGTTTCTGCAGGGAAACCTTTACCAGGCCCCACTCTTACCTTGTTCCACCCTAATTTCTCTCAGGTTGTGGAACAGCTGGAGAAGCTCTATCACATGCAGGGCTTAGGGTCAGTAGCTCATATCTTGACTTATGTGTGAGGCATGGTGCTAAGCCTTGTGGTTACAAAGACAGTGTGAGAATCACAATCACATACTACTTTAGCGCATGGACCACTCTGATATGAGTTTTCTACCTCACCTACTTCCACTTGCCAACGTGGAAAAACCATCACTAGCCGAATAACAGTGCCTTTCATGAGAAACCAGTGACATAATATCTGGTTTTATTAATTATAAGTTAACTATTAATTCCAGAGAAAAAAAAGGCCTCTTGATTATTAGAAGAAGCCCTCAGACCTCCTAGAGGGCTGTTATAGACTATCCTTTGAGAATCCTTTGTTTTTTCACTCCCTTTCTGATGCCAGCCTGATTACCAAAGCTAAAATGTGATGTCAGGTCCAACAGCTTTCTCTTGGGAACATCTCCTGTCACATATCCTTGCAGAAATAAAAGGCTGACAGTGCTTTTGTATAACCAGTCTTGCTTTTCTCATTCCTTCCCAACTCACAGTGCTGTACACAGTAAGACAAAAGAGCAAAAGGTATTCATGTTCTTTCCCTGCTCCCTTTACCTTTTTTGTAGGGAAGGGCAAATTATATGAGCTCAGGTTGTCTTGGCCTGAACTCAAATATAGAGGACTTCTAGGAGACCATAGTGGTTTTGAAATGTTGATCTAGGATTTGCCTCTTATGATGAAGACCTCAGAGACCAGCCTCAACTGGTTCAGTCTCTTGGAGGTCTTTTGGAATCCCCAGATGGTTTCAGACCAAAGCACATTCTTGAGACTGGGCCAGAAGCAGCTTCTAGATGTCACTGTGGTATTGGAAACTTACAGAAACAACTGGTAATAATAGTCCACTCAGCACCAGTAGTCACTTTGATGTCCGGCATCTTGTATTTCCCACAGGATCCAGTAGAAGGAGCAAAATCCTAATTAAAATCCCTATCCTAGAGGGCGGCCTGTCCTGTGTGCTAATTACAAAGGACAAGCTAGACTTGCCTGGCTTTCTGTTTTTCCTCACATTTACTGAATTGTTTCCCCTTCTTCAAAATACAAAAGGAAAGTCATAGCTACTTCTACTGCATTCTTGACAAGGTTGGATAAAACTTCTAGAGAAATGACTGGCCAATCAGAAGATAAAACTTGTCTTCAGCCTTTCATGCCTGAAAACACTAATACCAACAATGTGATTACTGACAGCATTAGTACAGTCCTGACTCAGCTTTCTGGATTAAATCCATTGGTGCAGCTATGGGCCTGTTATTGAGTGTTGGGACACAGGTCTGCCTCATTAACATGCTTTTGGTGGCAGTGAGCTGACAAGGTTGGAGACTTATGGTTTCCATGGAGGCATGAGTAAACTAGTCATCCCAGATTCCTTTGTTGGAGATAAATCTGGCTTGAGGCCCTGGAGTGAGTTCAACAGGTCTTGATTTTAAGGGGACAAGTGTTCCATGTTATCAAACTCATTTTATGTTCTTGGGCCCCACTGGAAACATCTGTTTAGAAAATAACTAGCATTGATTTCTGACAGGTAGCTGGTCTATCAGGCTTAGAGCTAATGTTGGTAGTACAGTAGCCTATGCCACAATGATTATCTTTTATGTTCAAGCACTGCTACCTTCTAGCAAATAAATAGTATGGTGAGGTTAAGCTAGGTGATGGAGGAACCCCTACTATGTGCATGGCTTTTGGCTCATGCCAAAAGATTTCAGTAGAGATAACCTCAAGGAGAGAGGGAGTCACAACATCAGAGATTTTAGAGGAAGGGCTGAGTGGAGTCCCTTCATCCCCTTTAATGAAATTCAATGATACGCAAAATTTGCAGTAAGGATCTCTTCTTTGTTGCAGGTGGCTGTGACTGAGCTGTGCCCTGCAGGGCCTATCCAGGCTGTGGAAATCCAGATGGAGAGCCCCTCTCTGGCTAACATGTGCAGGGTGCATCATGCAGTGATCAGACGCATCCAGGTATTTAAAAACTCATCAGTGAGGCAGTGAGACCCATTAATCTATGAGGCATTCTGCTGAGAGCCCCACCAGCATAGCCCCAAACAGAAAGGAGCAAGAGTGGTTTTAAATAGCTTTATGGGGTCCCTGTGTGTTCAGTTTAGTTGCTTGTAGCATGAGCTACAGTTACCATGCCAGGATGTTGCAGGAAAATCTATCTCAGTCTTGACTATTCTGCTTCTAAATGCATCTGAAACAGTGCTAAGTTTCTCTGCAGCCAAAAGGAGTCTGGTATTGTGTGCTCTTGTTTACCATGGAAACAGCCATCTCTCACAGCAAGCAGCTGGGCCTCTTTCCTTTCAGATGCCATTCTTTTCTGGTGTTTGTCCTTGAGCTACCTCTGTAGGGTCATATGGGTGTTGGGAACAGTGTCTAAATTCCTTATGGCTTTCAGATAAAAGCATTAAGTATATTAGTCATACTAAAAATGCAAGACGGTTCTTTAGCTCACATACCATAGAGTTTTAAATTAATGTATTTTTGCTGCTTTCCCATCCTAACCCCACCAGCTCCCACTCCAGACATGCACCTGATCTTTAGTATACAATATGCCATTGGGTGTGTTAGGGTAACTGACCTAGAAAATTGGTTTGAGTGGAAAGAAGAGAGATCCAGTGGTTTGCATTTTTATAAGTTAGAATTAGTTGGTGATTCTCTAATATGCACAGACTATTTCTGAAGTGGGTATTAGAATTCCTAATACCTATTGACCATTTTTTGGTTTATAGGAAGCTTCCTCAGCTTATCATTCCCAAAATCTCTTTGGATCATACATATTAGAGTAAGAATAATAGTGAAAGTAATAACATGGAGCCAGTATGATGCAAGGGAAAGAACGTTGACCCTAGAGTCAGATGACCTGTATTCAAATCCTGCTTCTGACACAACTACCTGTGTGACCTTTGGCAAGTCATTTAACCTCCCAGGGCCTCCCACCCTCTCAAAGTCTAGCCCATCCTCCACGTCATAGATAGGGGAGAGGGTGCTCCCAGCAATGTAAAAGAATGCCAGCCAGGGTGTCTTGAAAATGCTACAATAGCTATGAAGGCTGATAAGAACCCTGAAATTCCGTCCACTTAGGGCCTGGTATATACTACTGATTGGGTTAACACCCTGACCAGTATAGTAAAACTGCTCCTATGAATCTAAGAAATAGGCATTGGGTTGTCAGGCTGGTGCTACCCAAAATTCATCATAATAATCCTTTTGGCGTGAAGGGCAGCAGAAGCATTTGTATTCCTTCATGTTCTGAAATCACAGGATAGCAGAATATGTCAGAACAAATCAGAAATACCAGCATCCACCCATTGGAAATCCTTTGATGCAACTGGTACTGACTCTAAAAGCATGAATACTTTTATCATGCAGTAATAGAATAACAAAATTGGAGCCAGATCTCAACAGTTATAGGCAAAGGTTTTATCCTGCTTCTTTTCAATGATTCCTTCAGCTTTATGTCACCAAACAAACATATTGCTGTCCAGTGCAAAGGTAATCATTAAGTCTACATTAGATGAAATAAGAGATGAAATTGAGAGGTTAACTAAAATCTGAAGAGGAAAAGTTGATGACACTGAGGTCATTGAAAATCTGCACTTAATACAGACTCTAGAAATAATACCAAAAATGAATGATGAAGCATTTTACTTGCCTCCTGACTGGGAGGTGATGGACCTAGGTTGCAGAATGGACCCTGGGCATAGTCAACTGTGAGATTTTGTTTTGCTTGAGTATGCATATTTGTTACAAGGGTTTTGTGAGGGGTTTTTCAAAGTGGGATGTGAGACGTTAGAGGGAAAAAATACTTTGAAACAATTCCTTCATCTTGTGGAATCTTTACCTAGCAAGATAAGACCAAGTAGCTAGAATTATACATGAGAAGCTTGCTGTCTTTAATGGACTGACAGATGACAAATTCCCATGCTACAAATACAGACCTCCAACGATTCAGGAGAAAATAGCTTATAAGCTATACTGAAACTAGATCATTATGACAGCTTATTGACTACATTATGACTACTGGCCATAAGAGCCTGAACATCACATTGATCTGTGAAAACTGAAGAACAATGTTCTCTCTCTCTCTCTTTTTTTTTTTTTTGGTGAGGCAGTTGGGGTTGAAGTGACTTGCCCAGAGTCACATAGCTAGTGAGTGTTATATGTCTGAGGCCGTATTTGAACTCAGGTCCTCCTGACTCCGGGGCTGGTGCTCTATCTACTGCTCCACCTAGCTGTCTCTAGAAATGCTTTCAGTGAGCCTACAAAGGATGAGCTGGTATCATAATACTCTTTTTAAACTAAAAGGGCAGTTATCCCCTTATACAACAGTCTGTGGAAGATTCACTATAAAAGAATAATAGGATAGTGGCTTTTCTTAGAACTCTTTCTATTTCAACTTCATTGAAAAAGATTGGAAAAAACAAATAATGTCTACTGTTACATATTTTGCTAAGGTTTACAAAGCACTTTACATGCATTATTAGACCTTAAAAATTATAGGGTCAACTTTTCATTTTATAGATGAGGAAACTGAGGTCCAGAGATGGGAAATGATTTGCATGAGGTTATGCATCTAATAAATAGTAGAATCTAAATCTGGTGCTTTTTTTTTCCATTAGAAAACTGTCTCACTGTAGAAATATTTTTGAAGATTCATTTGGGATCTCTTGAGCATATTTAAACAGCCTGGGAAAGTGAAAAATCAGTAGAGCATAAGATCAGGGAACAAGTCACACTATGGCTTGAGTCAGGGTTCAGGGATGTATGTATACAGGGACTGCCTGTGGTCCAGTAGTTCAGATAGTTTGTAATTTGTCACAGTGTTCACATAGTTCAGTGTTTCAGGAAATTCCTGTCCTTGGCCCTTGACTGGACACATATTTCAAAGGTTCTTATAAACTGGGATCCATAATTCTACACTCATGGGTCACAAAGCAAAACCTCTCCATGTAGCAAAGGACAACTGACCAGGCAAGGAAGGTGTCTGAAAGAGAAAGGAACAGAGACCACCTGGGAAGTGTTAGGCAAAGTAACAGTTACAGCTCCATCCTAGAGCTCTTTTTGCATGAAAAGGATGAAGTATAAAACCACCCCTTGAGATAGGCTGGGAAAGGTTTGTTTTAAATGGTTTGGGATGTAAAATGTGTTTTGCTGATGGCAAAGGTAGAAGAGGAGCTATATTGGCCACGTCAATTCAACAAATATATTTACTGTTGAATCAGTATGGGTTCAATTCCTCAAAGTCAGTCTTTGACTTCCTTCCTCCTTATCCTAACATCCAGTCTGTTGCCAAGTCCTGTCAATTCTGCCTATGCAAAATCTCTCATAGTCTGTTTCCCCTTCACTCACACTGCCACCGGCATAGTTCACAAGCCATCACAACTTTTTGCCTGGAATATTGTTCTAACTTTGTGACTGGTCTCCTTGACTCTAGTCTTTCTTGTCTCTAGTCCATAGTTCATGAGATTATCAAAGCAGTCTTCTTAATGCATGGGAATTGTCACTTCCTATGCTCAGAAACCTTCAGCAGTTCCCCTGAGGCTATTACTGGTGGTTTCCAAAGGAATTCTGTGTCATCAGTGAAAAAGTTCTAAGTACACACCTGATATATATTTGTTTATAAATTATTTACTATATGTAAGAAGAAAAATGTATGCAAAAATAGACAAAAAAGATCAAGTAGTTTCAAATATTTTAATTTTATTAATGGTACAAAAACTTTTGCCCCTAAAAGTTAATATTTCTTCAAGCATTGTTATTTAATATGCTTCATTTTAAAAAAAATCTTGGTTTAGCACTTTGTGATGTAGCAATTCCAGGGACTGCTTCTAAGTTCAGTTTATTTTGATGTTTAATCATACTGGCTGTCACAGCTGACAATGATACCTCACAAAGACATGTAGATCCACATGGAAAAGGTGTATCGATGGCTGTACTTACTAAATTATGATGCATATTTTTCAGTCCCTTCCACCAATTATGCAAAATTTTTTGTGGTATCTTGGGTAGTAAATTTCCATCTTCCCTGCAGCCATTCAGTTGTTCTTGTAAACTAATTGGAAAGTGTTGCCTTTTTACAGTTTTAACAAATGGGTTCAAAACCCATTGAAATACTTTGGAAGATTTTTAAATAGGTAAGAAAGTTCTGTTTCCAAGTTATTTAAGGGTATGTTTATGAGAGTTTTTATAGGTGACATACATAGTTTTCAGCAACAAAAATTTATTTTTTTAAATGCCTTGCTAATCACAATGGCTTCATATTTTCATCAGCTAAAGTTTCTAGGTACATTGTTAATCATAATGAATAAAAATCCATATTTCAAATAATCTGGACAATTTCAGGTTTTTTTGGCTCGTTTCATGTCAGATCCGATTAGTTCATCAGCATTTATGCCTGTAATGTAGCTGATGAAGTACTCATGTGAAGGGTAGAAGTATCATCCTTGCCATTTTCTTGTTCAGTTGTGCAGCATTACCTTCAATCCATGGTTTCTTTTAAACCACTTGACCATTTTGAGGGTTAGTTTAATTAAAACTAGGTAATGTAATCTGTAAATCCACTTAAGAAGGCTGACACAAAATGTGATAGTTTGAAATTTGCTGAAAGTGAATAAATGAGTGAGAGTGGCATTGTCAGTCCCTCCACGCGATGTGGAACATCAGGTTCTCAGGATACCTCATGTTCCATATCACAAAACACTTCACATGTGGACCAAGTAGTGAGGGCGGCAGCATCAGTTATATACCAAGTATTAGTGAAGCCTAATTTCTTTCTAATTTTTATATAAAAAGAAGTTCTAAGATTTTCCTCCTGTACTTGCACCCCAGTGGATCTTCTTGTATACCCCTTGTGGGGCACATAACCCATTTTGGAGACAACTGACCTATAGGATAAAATACAAAATCGTTATCTGCTGTGTGAAAATGTAAGTTTCTTGAGGTAAGGGACTATCTTTGTTTTTGTATTTGTTTTCTCAGTGCCTAGCACAGGGCTTGGCATATATCTAACACTCAGTAAATGCTTTTTCATTGGTTCAGTTATTTAAGGCTTCCCATAATCTGGCTTCAACCTACCATTGTAGCTTTATTTTGCACTCTTGTTATTCGTGTGCTCTGTTTGAGAAAATAGGGCTACAGACTTTTGAGCTCTCTCTCTTTTCCAAGCCTGTGTGGTTGCCTTGTGCCTGAAATATACTTCCTCCAACATCTACCTGTTGACATTCCTCTCTTCCTTTAAGGTCTAGCTCAGGTGCCACCTCCTCTGTGATCTCTCTCACTACTACTACCTCAAAATCAGTCAAGCAATCAATATGCATTAGGTACTTATTATGTACCAAGCATTGTGCTAGGTCCTGAGAATTCAAGCACAAAGATGAAATAATCCACCTACTCACAAGGAATTTACATTCTAATGAGGAAGATAAGAAGAGAGAGAGAGAGAGAGAGAGAGTGTGTGTGTGTGTGTGTGTGTGTGTGTGTATTTATGGTGTGGGTGTGGGTGTGTGTGGGTGTGTGTATTTATGTATGGAATAAATATAAAGAGAATAAACTCCATTGGTTCCTGACACCTTCAGCATCAAATATAAAAGCCTCTCTTTGGCATTCAAAGCCCTTTCTCCCCACCCCCCTTCCCCTCCCCCCAACCTTTCTAGTCTCTTACACCCCACCGAATACTCCCACCTATTCTGATCCAATGATGTTGGCTTCCTGGATGTTCCTTAGACAAAATGTTTCATCTCCTGATTCTGGGTATTTTCCCTGGCTGCTTCCCATGCCTGAAATTCTCTTCCTCTTCATTTTTACCTCTTGGCTTCCTTCAGGTCCTAGCTAAAATTCCACATTCTACATGCAGCCTTTTCTGATTCCCCTTAATGCTAATGCCTTCCCTTTGTTAATTATTTCTCATTTGTCCTGTATATAGCTTGTTTGTACATAGTCATTTGCATGTTGTGTCTTGTGAGCTCTCTGAGGGCAAGGACTATTTTTTGCCTTTCTGTATATTCCCAGTGCTTAACACAATGCCTGGCATATATGAGGCACTTAATAAATATTTACTGATTGGCTGACTAAATACAATCAAATACCAAGCAGTTAAAGATAAGGTAGCTTCAGTGGAAGAACACTAGTACTTGGGAAGATCAAGAAAGACTATGTAGAAGGTGGTACCTGGTGGAGGTGAGAAGAGATCTTATCTCCCTTAATCCTGTCATGCCTCTCTTATATTCATTTAGCGCATTCTAATTTGCAGTGTAGTTGTTTTTTACATTTTTAAAATCTTTATCTCCAAGGCTGAACACACTGCTTTGCCCTTAGTAAATACTTAATATATGCTTGTTGAAATTGAATGCCATATGTGTGTGAATTTGCTTGAAGGTGATTCTCTTTCACTCTCTCTTTCTCTTACTGTCTCTATGTCTTGTACACACATTCACTCATATACATAGAAAATGAAGAATAGGGAGATGGAAGCAGTTCTTGAAGTGCCTAAATTGATTTGGGTAGCTGTGCCTCATATATCTTTTGCTCATCCAGCTATAGTCCCAGCTGATGAATCCTGATGAGTCTCCCTAGATCTCTTTGGATTCACATCATAGCTAGGTGAGCAGGTTGGGGTTTGTTGCAAGATTTTCAGAAAGCAAGAAGACTGGGACGGGGGGGGGGGGGGTTTACAATGCAACCATAAACTAGACTAAGTGGAGTGAATAAATAGGACACTTCATTGGAGGCCTCTGCATGAGACAACTTCAGGGGATTGAAGGCAGGAGCAGGTCTCACAGTGTCCTTACTTTGAAGACCATGGGATTAGAGTTGCTCATATGGGGAATGTCGGAGCATCTAAAATTATAATTAGGCCCAAAGGTGAGAATAGGAGATAAAAGAGAAGGGACAGAGAAGATGAGCTAGAGGTGGAGCTGAAATTTCTTGAGGGAGATGGAAAGATTAGTGATGAGAAAGGACAAAATGAAATTTGTTTCAGAGTCAGTAACCATCACCCTGTAGGTTTCTATGTAAGGGTATCAACAAGAGCCCTAACCACGCCAGGAACAGAGAAAATAGTTCATATTGATGAACAGGAAAGTAGAAAAAGCAGTGAAGAGTGAGGAGGAGAGAGGCCTGAGAGAGGCGTAAAACAGCAGGCACCACAGAGTCCTGGGAAGAGTACAGAATGGAATTAATAGAGTGTAAAAGTAGGGAGGGAGGCAGTAAAGATGAAGATCTAAAAGAAGATTGCAGAAGATAAAAGGGAAAATGTCAAGCTTACATCCAGGGAGAAGCAGTGAAGAGATAAGTTTGAACAGGTTTCATTTCTTCATTCTAAGAAGGGGTTTGGGGAACATTTGCCAGAAATGAATCTGTGGTCCCTCCAGGAAGAAACACATCATCCCAATGATTTTAGGTATACATTAGGACAGGTGATGGAGAAATAATCATGGCTGGTGAGCGTCAAGAGGACCAGGCTGAGGCTAGTACGTACAGAACAGGAAAGGAAACAGTCACAGTGCCTAAGCAAGCAGCTCTTTTAGAAAACAAGGAGTAAAACTGTAGAAGGCTTCTTCAGGCCACCCTAGAAAGGGGTGATGGAATTTGTCCACTGGTTTTTTAATCCTTTTTGTTTTTTATTTTCTCTGTTTTATTCTATCCTGTATAGATAATGATCATGGACCAGGCTGCTCAGGGTTCTAACCCACCTGATCTCCGTGTGCAGTATCTTCGTCAGATCCATGCCAATCATGAAGTGAGTGACAGCCTGCATTCTGTGTTGTAGAAAACCTGCTTTCGTGCTAGGCTCTAACTGTCCTGGGGTGAGGGGGTAATTTGGGACCTACATCACATTCTTGTCTATGTCACTTTAATAAATTTTTCTGTTTAGATAGCCTTGTAACAGGAATGCCAGCAAATAATCTTTCATACATGACCATTATGTAAATGTATAACTAGAAGGAAAGAAGGGGCTGTAGCTGTCCCTTTATTGTGCCGCAGATGTTGCCTAGCATTATTCCAAGAACTGCTCAATGATAATACTTATCCCAGTGAAGCAGGCTGCTCCACTCCTGGAGTTAAGGTCTGGTTGATATCTAGCACCTTTGTGAATGAGGCACAGACTTTCAAGCCAAGTGGAATCAATTATTCCAATATTTATTCTAAATAGTTTGGGGCATGATCAGAATTGGAAAGGGCAGGTTGACTGATTGTATGTGGGTGGAGAATAGGTAACAAGATGAGTACAAAAGGTGACATGGTCCTATAAGTATAATGTCAGGAATGCTAAAGTTCGTATTGGTGTAAGATAATGAAGAAAGCTAAAGATACTGAAAAGGATGGTTTTTTAACTATATTGGGGGAAAAGACAGATCAGAGAAGGTATAGGACCACTGTTTGGGGTAAATGGGATATGATGGAGGACAATGGAGAAAAGTCGGAGCTAATTGCATTTTTTATTCACATATTTACATTGTTTCTGTTTTCTCTGCCAAGGAGAATAATCATTGAACTAGAGGGACAGAATGAAAATAGCTAATGAAGGGCAGCTAGGTGGTACAGTGGATAGAGCACTGGCACTGAAGTCAGGAGGACCAGAGTTCAAATGCGTCCTCAGACACATACACTTACTAGCTGTGTGACCCTGGGCAAGTCACTTAACCCCAATTGCCTGGAAAAAAAAAAGAAAATAGCTAATGAAGTTGATGGATTGAGTAGGGATATAATGACTAGGGACATAGTAAGAAATTACCTGTTTGCCCTTGATCTGTTTAAGTAACTAAATTCAGATGCACTACAGTTCTGGGGACCACACTGATAAGTTGGAAAATGTCCAGAAGAGGGTAACCAGATTGATGGAGGGGCTTGAGAACATCCTATGTAAGGATCAGTTAAAGGAAATTGGGAGGAGTATCCTGGATAAGAGAAGATTTAGGGTGCAGATGATAGCTGCATATTTGAAGGGCAAGAGGAATTAAATTTTTTCTGCTTAGCTCGAAAGGGCGGAGAACCAGGAGCAGTGAGTGGAAAATACAGAAAGACAAATTAAGCTTGATATAAGAAGAAAGTTTCTAGTAATTAGTTATCCAAAAACGGAATAAGCTGATATGGAAGATCTTCAGGCAAAGGCGGGAAGACAGTTGGTCTGATATGTTGTATGGGAGATTCTTCTTCAGGGATGTGTTGGACTAGATGGCCTTTGAGGTCCCTTTCAGCTGTGAGGTTCTGTGAGCGTGGATTTAAATTCTAGTCTGAGACAGTCAGTTTCACTGAGAAACTGTTCCATGGCCATGTACTGCAACTCTTACCTCCAGCTAGCCTTTTTCCAAGTGGTAACCAGAATGTTCAGGTGAGTGTATAAAGATATCACCAGTCTTGGAAAACAACTCACAAGTGCTTTCCCTCCTGATAGTGGGCAGTAGTATCAGGCTTTCACTTATCTGGTATTACTGCTTCTGTGCTCTGTCTCTTCTTCCATTAGGCTTGTTCTGCTTGACCCTAAAGACAAACCTAGCTCTTGTTCCTGCTGTGTACTTTTTCTGCCTCTGTTACATTGGGAGAATGTTATGTTCCCAGAACTTTCCTTTGGGGAATCAATGTTCTCTCTTCTCCTTTGGGCGTACTTGAGGCTTATCTCTTCCATGAAGCCTTTCCAGACTGCTCCTGCCCTTCAGCCTTCTAATCACTCACCGCTCCTAACAAAAACAGCTGGTGTTGATACAAAGCGTTTTACAGCATACAAAGAGTTTTTCTTACTTGTTCAACCCTTTGTCCTGCTGTTTTGGGTTGGATATGTTTTTTTTTACATGTGTATAATTGTACTTGGCCCACTATTTCTGTTAAATTTAAAGTTTTAGTTCATAGCACATATTTAGGAAGGTGATAGTCCTGCCATACCCTACCCTGATTAGTCAGTCAGTCAGTATTTATTAAGGGGCTGCTAAGTGCCAGGCACTGTGCAAAGCGTTGGGGATTTGAAGAAAGGCAAAAGACAGTTTAATAGGGAAGACAACATGCAAACAACTATGTACAAACAAGCTACAGTGAAGATAGATTGGGGATGATCAGTAGAGGGAAGGCACTAGCATTAAGGATAATCAAGAAAAACTTCTCATAGAGAATAGTATTTTAGCTGGGACTTGAAGGAAACCAGGGTAGCTAGGAAGTAGAGATGAATAGGGAAAGAATTCCCTGCATGGGAGACAGCCAGTGAAAATACTCAGAGTTTGAACATGGAATGTCTTGTTCAAGGAACAGCGAGAAAGTCAACGTCACTGGACTGAAGAGTATATAGTAGGTGGGGTGGGGTAAGAAGACTGGAAAGGTAGGAGCAGGGAGGTGAAGGGCTTTGAATGCTAAACAGAGGATTTTATATTTGATCCTGGAGGTGACAAGGAGCCACTGGAATTGCTTGAATAAAGGGGGTGACGTAGCTAGATCTTCACTAGGAAGATTAATTTGACAGCTAAGTGGAAGATGGAATAGAGTGGGGAGAAACTTGAGGCAGGAAGGCCAACCAGCAGGCTGTTGTCTAAGTGAGAGATGATGAGGACCTGTACCAAGGTGGTGTCAGTGTCACGGGAGAGAAGGGGGTATATACTAGAGAAGTTACAAGGTAAAATTGAGAAGATTTGGCATCAAACTGGATATGGGGGTGAGAGGGAGGAGTTAAGGATGATATCTAGGTTTTGAGCCTGGGTGACTGGAAGGATACTGATGCCCTCAATAGTAAAAGAGAAGTTAGGAAGAAGAAGGGATTTGGGAAGAATGATAACGAATTCAGCTTTGGATATCCATTGTAATATGTCTAATAGGCAGTTGAAAATGTGAATGGAGGTTAGGAGAGAGGTTAAAGCTGGATAAATAGATCTGAGAATCTTCAGTAAAGAGATAATAATTGAATCCATGGGAGTTGAAAAGATAATTAAGTGAAATAATATAGAGGGAGAAGATAAAAGTTTTCAGGACAGAGCCTTGGGGCATGCCCAAGGTCAGTGGGTATGACCTAGATGAAGAATTGTCAAAGGTCCTAAGAAGGAGCAGTCAAAGAGATAGGAAGATAACCAGGATAGAGCTGTATCACAGAAACTTAGACAGAAAGAGGTTGATTGACTGTATCAGAGGCATCAGTGAGGTCAAGAAGGATGAGGATTAAAAAAGGCCATTAGATATGGTGATTAAGAGATTATGATATAATAAATGATGAGGTTAAAAACCAGACTATAAAGGGTTAAGAAGAGTGAGAGGAAAGGAATTGGAGGCATTGAATATAAAGAATCTTCTCAGGGCAGCTAGGTGGCGCAGTGGATAGAGCACTGGCCCTGAAGTCAGGAGTACCTGAGTTCAAATCTGGCTTCAGACCAAACACTTGACACACTATACGCTGAGCTGTGGTGACGTGGGCAAGTCACTTAACCCCAATTGCCTAAAAAGAAAAAAAAACCCCTAAAAAAAAAAAAGAATCTTCTCAAGGAGTTTTGCCGCAAAAGAGGAAGAGATGTGGGACAATAGCTAGTGGAGATGGATGGATCAAGGGAAGGTTTTTTAAGGATGGGAAAGACATGGGCATGTTTATAGGTGGTAAGGAAGGAGCCAGTAGACAGGGAGAGATTGAAGATAAGTGAGAGTGGGGATGATAGGGCAGTCTGCTGGAGAAGACAAGATGGAATAGTGTCACTGGTGCATGTAGAGAGAGTTTTCCATAATAAGGAGCAGGGCCACTTCTTCATGTGAGATAGGAGATAGTGGCAGAAGGCATTTGGATGATTGAGATGAGGAGGAGGGAAGAAGAGGGAGAGCTCAGTGAATGACATCATTTTTTATTTCAGTGAAATAAGAAGCAAGGTTCTCAGGTGAGAGGGTGGAAGAGGGGAAATAGGGTGTTCATGTCTAGGCACCAGATTGAGGAATGACATTGAGATGAGTAAGCAGTGTGATTGGCAACCAAAAACATACCATCTTGGGCTAAATTCAGAGACATAGCTTCCAAGAATGAGGAGGTGGTAGTCCCACTGTACTTTGTCTTCAGACTGGAGTATTGTTCAATTCTAGGAGCCACAGTTCAAGAAGAATATTGATAAGCTGGAGATTGTCCAGAGGATGGCAGATAGGATGGTGAAGCCCCTTGAGTCCGTGTCATCAGGATCATTTGAAGAAATTAGGGCCATTTGGCCTAGAGAAGACAAGACTCTGGGAGTGAAGGGCATGTGGTAGGGCATGTGAGGGACCAGACATGACCGATGTTTTCAGGTAATGGATGGAAGTTGCAGAGAGGCAATTAGACTTGATGTCAGGGGGAAAAAAATCCCTTCTTTTAAAAAACATTTTATTTTTTCCAATTACATGTAAAAATTTTTAACATCTGCGATGCCAAAAGGGCTATAAAATTATGCATACCCTTTGATCCAGCAATACCACTACTAGGTCTGTATCCCAAAGAGATCATAAAAAAGGGAAAAGGACCCACATGTGCAAAAATATTTATAGCAGCTCTTTTTGTGGTGATAAAGAATTGGAAATTGAGAGGATGCCCATCAGTTGGGGAATGGCTGAACAGGTTGTGGCATATGAATATAATGGAAGGATTTCAGATTTCAGGCAGATTTCAGAAAAAGTTGGAAAGAATTATATGAACTGATGCTGAGTGAAGTGAGAACCAGAACATTGTACACAGTAATGGTAACATTATGCGACGATCAACTTTGATAGACTTAGCTCTTCTCAGCGATACAGTGATCTCAGATAATTCCAAAAGATTCATGATGGAAAATGCTATCCCCATCCAGAGAAAGAACTATGGAGTCTGAATGCAGATTGAAGCATAATATTTTCACTTTTTTTTGTTTTTTCCTTTTCATGGTTTTTCCCTTTGCTGATTCTTCTTTCACAACATGACTAATGTGGAAATGTGTTTAATATGATTGTACGTGTATAACCTATATCAGATTGCTTGCTCTCTTGGGGAGGGGAGAGGGAAGGGAGGGAGGGAGGAAAAAATTTGGAACTCATCTTATAAAAGTGAGTGTTGAGAGGCAGCTAGGTGGCACAGTGGATAGAGCACTTGCCTTGGAGTCAAGAGGACTTGAGTTAAAATCCAGCCTCAGACACTTAACACTTACTAGCTGTGTGACTGGGCAAGTCACTGAACCCCAACTGCCTCACAACAAAAAAAACCATGAATGTTGAAAACTACCTTTACATGTAATTGGAAAAAATAAAATACTATTAAGTGGGGGGAAATTTTTTGAGTTCCAAATTCTCTTCTTCCCTCCCTTCCCTCCCCCTTCATTAAGAAGGCAAGCATTTTTTATATAAGTTATATATGTGTAGTCATGCAAAATGTATTTCCATATTAGTCATGTTATGAAAGAAAACGCAAACCAAAAAAACCCCAAGAAAAATAAAGTTTAAAAAAAAAAGTAAGCTTCCATCTGCATTCAGTTGATAATCAGTTCTTTTTCTGGAGATGGATAACATTCGTCATTATGAGTCCTTCAGAATTATGTTTGATCATTGTATTGCTGAGAATAGCAAAGTCATTCACAGTTGATCATTTTACAGTGTTGCTGTTACTGTGTATAGTATTCTGGTTCTGCTCACTTCTGCTCGCTTTGCATCAGTTCATGTAAGTCTTTCCAGGTTTTTCTGAAAGCACAGGAAAAATTTTCTTAACAGAGCTGTCCTGAGAAGTGGAGGTCTCAGAACAGAAGTGGGATGACTGCTTGTCGGGCATGATAGAGTGAGAGTTCTGTTTGTGTGTGGGATGAACTAGATGGTTGATGAAGTCCCTTCCAACTCTCAGAGTCTGTGATAATCTGGAGTACATTCAGAGGAGGGTAACCAGGTTGATGAATGGCCTTAAGGTGGCATTATACGAAAACTTCTTAAAAACACTAGGATTGTTTAGACTGGAGAAGAGAAGACTCAGGGTAACACAAGAGTTGTATTTGAAGAGCTAGCACACAGAATAGGGAAGGATTAGACTTGATCTCCTTAACCTCAGTGGACAGAACAAGTAGCTGTGGGTAGAAGTCACAAAGGGCTAACTTAGGCTTGATCGAAGGGAAAACTTCCTACCAGTTAGAGCTCTCTGAAAATGAAATGGGTGATGGAGAGGGACAGTGGGTTTTCAAGCAAAAGAAATAGCACGTGTAGTGGGAATCGTGATTTGGGAGTCAGACGACTTGGACTCACATGTCAGCTTAGCCATCTGTTTACCTCTGTTACTTTGAGCAAGTCCTGAAGGGACTTGGTGATCTTGCAGCTCCAACTCTTAGGATTTCAATAAAATTGGAGACATTCTGATTCCCCTGCTTTCCTTTGAGATGAGAGAACCCTCCATGGTAACATTTGCAAAAGGCAGCCAGCCCTTTCTTCTTAGAAACCAACAATTACTTTAAAAATTATTGCTGTCAGGGCAGCTATGTGGCACAGTGGATAGAGCACCGGCCCTGGAGTCAGGAGGATTTGAGTTCAAATCTGGCCTCAGATACTTGACACTTAACTAGCTGTGTGACCCTAGACAAGTCACTTAACCCCATTGCCTAGGCCGCCTCCCTCCCACAAAAATTATTGATATCTTTTGTTTTCACATCACCTTCATTTCAGTTTCCAAATATATTCTTTCTCCCCTCCATCTCCCCACCCCCCCCCATGAAGTCATTCCTTGTAATGAAGAATTAAAGAAAGGGTAAGAAATGCAATTTAGCGAAACTAACCAGTAGAGTCTGGCAGCCATGGTCTCTGGAAGGAAGAGAGGGAAGTGCATTTTTTCTTCTTCCCTACAGCCAAGCTTGGTCATTACAATTACTTCATAAAGTCCATATGTCTAAAACAGAACTCATTACCTTTACCCTCAAACATGTCCCTCTTCTCTAACTTTCCAAACCTATTACTGTTGAGGACACCACAATCTTCACTGTCACCCAGGCTTGCAAATCCAGTGTCATCCTTAATTCCTCACTGAACTCATCCCACATATCCAGTCTGCTGTCAGATTTATCATTTCTACTTTTACAATATTTATCACATATAGCTCCTTCTCTCCACTCACACTGAAGTCCTTCTCACCTTTCATCTGGACTATTACTGTAGTCTCATTGATCTTCTTACCACAGGTCTCTCCCCTACTCTCTCTCCTACTCAGCCGCCAAAGTGACTTTCCTGTAGGGCTGGTTTGACCATATTGTTGCTACTCTCCTTCCTTTACCCCATCCTCCCCATAAGCTCTAGGGCAGGGTTGGGGCACCTGTGGTCCTGTAGGTCTTCAAGTGCTGCCCTTTGACTCAATCCAAACTTCACAGAATAAATCTCCTTAATAAAAAGATTTGTTCCGTAGAACTTGGACTCAGTCAAAAGGCCACATGCAAGGACCTAGAAGGCCATATGTGGCTTCAAGGCCACAGGTTCCCCATCCTTGCTAGTACTTCACTGTTACTACCAGAATCAGTTGTAAAGATACTTAAAACCTTTCAGATCCTTTTGCCTTCCTACTTTTCCATTTGCTTTCCAATCTACTTTTTCTCCTTCGTGTACTCTGCAATCCAGATATGCTGGCCTGCTGGCTGTTCCACATACACAATACTCCATCTGCTGACTTCATCCAAGCCTTTGGACTGACTGCTTCCATTCCTGGAATGTTCTCCCTCTTCACTTCCACCTCTCATAGCTTCTGTGGTTTCTTTAAGGCTCCACTTAAATTCTGCCTTCTGCAGCAGGTAGTCCTAGCCTTCCCCCCCATCCCCCTTATTCTGTATATATCTTGTATGTAATAGTTATTTACCTGTTGCCTCCCCTATTAGAATGTGAGGAAGTCCCTTGAGGGAAGGGACAGTGTTTTTAACCTTTCTTTATATACCCAACACTTATCACAGTGCCCGGCACATAGTAAATGTTTAATAAATGCTTATTGAGTGACTGACTCAGCACAGTGCAAGTTAATCTTCCTTTTTTAAACTTAATTTTAATTTTTCAGTTGACCAAAAAATCTACCTTCTTTCCCTTCTACTCCCCCTTGGAAAAAATAAATAATAGCCAGCATTCATATAGTACTTTAAGGTTTGTAAAGTGCTTTACAAATATCTGATTTTATCTTCACAACAACCCTGGGAGATAGGTGCTATTATCATCCCCATTTTGCAGATGAGGAAACTGGGCCCAGAGAATTTTAAGTGATTTGCCCCAGGTCACACAACCAGTTAGTATCTGAGGCTGGATTTGAATTCAAGTAACGAGTTCTGTTTCTGATTCCAGGCCTTTCACTCTATCCACTTTGCTCCCCAGCTGCCTCCATGATTTATGTAGTGCTTTAGGGTTTACAAAGCTTTTGCAAAGGATTACATAGTTTAACTCATTTGAGTTTGGAAAAGAAGGAAAAGCAAAACCCTTGTAACAGATGTGCAGAGTGAAGCAAAACAAATTCTTTCACTAACCCTGTCCAGAAAAATATGTCTGAGTCTTCCCCCTGAAGCATGTCCCATCTCTCGGGAGGTAAGCATCATATTTAATCACAAGTCTTCTGAATTGTGGCTAGTCACTGCATTGATAAGTGATTTTCTTAGTGTCTTAATATTTCTTTCCACCTTCCTGCCCCTGCTTTCTTTACTACCCATGTAGATATTACTCAAGGAGGTGCAGTCCCTGAGAGATCGTCTTTATGTTGAGGATGATGCCAGTGCCAGCGCTGCTGCAGAGAAACTCCTACAAGTCTACAAACAGCTTCGCAACCCAAGCCTCATCCTCCTGTGACCCCTAATGGCACTGGTAGGGCACCTTACACCAGAAGCTCCCCTCTTCTTATGGAAAAGAGCTCTACCCCCATCCTGGGTTCCTCTGGGAATGTGAAGTCACTTTGTCTTTTTGAGTCATTTTCATTTGTCTTATATTCTTTAAGGACTGGCATTATGTTGGCAATTTTATAAGATAAACTTGTTCCTTTGGCAGCATTTGACTCCAGTATGTACTGTATATCTTGGATATTTATTTTCTGTAGGTATAATCCATTGAAAATAAGTGTCTCTAGTTCAGTTTCCTGCCTAATAGTATATACAATGTAGAATGTAGATGTAACTTGCTCTCATGCTGTTTGTGTACCACTTTGCGTACCCAAAAAGTAATGTATAAATTGAATCATTTTGAATGTACTAGGAAAGCTGATTATTTAAAACTAGTAGATCCCATTTTCTCTGTGACATATCCCCATGTGCATGTGTGTCACATGCATGTGTGTGTGCACATGTACGTGGGTGTGCACTTGAGGAAGGGGGACTCACTTTAGAAACTAAGTGTATATTTAAATATTAGCTTCAAATGAGCTATAATTTCATCCTTCCATTGACTTAAATCCCAACTTCTCTATGCCTTAGTATATTGCCAAAAAAAAAATGCCTCCTGGTGGCAGCCTTCTGGTGATAAGCCTTTGCAAATTAAATGAGCCAGTCTTCTATCAGCAGGCAGACAGTCCATCACTGGGCTGTACTTAAAGCCTTTCAGCTTGGTAGGACTTTATTGAGATTGCACTCTGTTGGAATAGCCCTTACTGGCATAACCTTGGGAACCTAGGCTTAATTCCATGGTACAGAGAAACATTCAAGGAGGACTTCAGTAGAAATATATGTATGTGTGTTTAATTTTTTTCTTTTCCTTTTACAGGTTCTATTAAGCAGCTCTGACATTTCACCTCTTGACTGCTAGAAAATCTTCCATATGATCCCTAAGGGTGGGATTGAAGATACCCTCTCCGTTGAGAAGCCCAGCAGTGTGCAGTAATAGAGGCTGTGGAAATCTTCTAACACCCCGCAGGATGGGGATGTCTAAGCCTGATGAGGGCCCTTTCATGCCAGAGAAAGGTTTTGAGGGGTGGATCTGTTTTTAACTTTTTTGATATTATAAAGCACCAGAGAATGAGCTAGCCTCTCCGAAACAGGGACACCTAACCCTGCCTAGAGCAGAACTCATCCCCATTCCCACTCACCTCCCATTCCCTGCCCATTTGGGTAATTGAGGGTGAAGAGCAGTAAGTGTTTCTGTCATTCTTAGGATAACTGCTCCATGCATGAATGGTTCTTGAGCCTTGTACCCATGGCATGATGAGAATAGGTGACGTATATTTTGTGTATTGTCTGTGAGTGCTAGTTTAGCTTCTGATGTTTGTAGCTCAGCAGTGGCTTTGTATTTCACAGTGGAAAGAACCTGTCGTTTCAACCCACGTTCATAGTTCACCATAACAGTGGCCAAAATACTAAAACTCCATAGTTAGTGATGTAGAAACTTAGGTCTCTAGTACTGAGTCATTTTTCTGGGAGTCCTCTACAGGGGGTCCTCTCTCCTGCCTCCCCTGTACTTTCTCACTGTTAGACTTAGGCAGAGATACCTGCCTGCTATTTTCCCTAGCCCTACACACCTCCAGGGTCCTAGGTTTGGGGTGGTTTTTGGTTTTATTTAAGTAATTACTTAAAATAGGAAGGGGAAATGGGAGGGGAAAAAACCCAGTGTATTACCTTACCTGCATTTTTTGCATCTTTCTCTAGTGGTGGTTTCAGTTGGATTCATTTCCTTCCTGTTTAAAGTGCCATCTGTAACAAGAAAATTGTTGTGGCTGTTAATCCGTGATCTGTCATGAGAATGATTCTTTTCCATTGAGTTTCTTCAGGTCTTCCTTGCCTTTCCACCCTGCTCTTTCCTTTCTCCTGTTCTCCCCATTTCAGTATTTGATATTTGGCAGCTCAGCCTCAATTTCCTCTTTCCACCCTCCTTCGTTTTCTCTTAGGCTTCCCCTTGAGTTCTGTGTGCCTCACAATTAAAGTACTGGCAGCCTGAAAAGTTACCACTCTGCATGAATAATTGAGCCCCTTTGCTCTGTTCTCATTGGCCCTGGGGGCCATTAGGGAGGCCTCCAGCACTTAGGGATGAAGCCTAGGCAGAGGAAGCAATCACTCTAGTGCCCTCATTGTATTGTGCATTTCATGCCCATAACCATAAATCTTAGTGTGGAACTACTTGCCTCCCAAAGTATCCAGTCCCTAGGGCCCAGGCAGGTTAATGTAACACACGTCCCTGCACCCCACAACTCTGAGAGCATTTCAAGGGAACAGAAAAGGTTGGCAGGTAGTCTGTGCTCCTGGATCGGAAGGACCTGTTACTGCAGCCCAAACTGGGGTGGGAAGCTTCTCTCATCTCTGTCTTACTCTGGCTGGTTTGTACAGAGGGGGGAATGCTCTTTCTTACCTGCCTCCTGGGTCAGGCTCTCCCTCAAAAGCTTTCTCTGCCCCAAAAGTATTTTGGGGGAGTCTGCAAGTAGCTAGCTGCACTGTCCTCAGTTATCTGTCTGGTGGTTTAGCATTACAGGGGAAGGGGAAGAAAGGATCTGGTTCAACAGGAAAGCGACTGGAGTCGTCATTCTGACACAGATGAAATTACAGAATAGCCTGGGCCTTCTGATAACTCCCTTATCCACATATTTCCTTTGGAGACTGAAGCTGGCAAAGCAGGATTTCCCACAGGCAGAAAGAGCCCTCCTCATTTGTGAATATTCACCATGTGGAGCCAGGCTCAACTGCCAGCACTGACTGTTAGGGCAGTTTTATTTGAATTGTGAAGGGGCTCTATCCTCCCTCCAAGAGATTGAACCTTTTCAGTGAGCCCATTTCCACTCTGGATCTGGGTCAGGCTTTTCCTTGAGGGCTTCCTCTATGTTGCCTCAGGTCTCCTGACTCTGACCACATATCCCTCTTGTTTGGCCCTATCAGAAATTTTACTGGGGAATAGAGATTCTTAACTTTTTTTATGTTGTAGACTCCATTGGGATTGCAAAGAAGCCTATGGATCCCTTCTCAGAATCATGTTTTTAAATGCACAAAATAAAATACACAAGATTAAAGGAAACTGATCACATTGAAATATGGTTATAAAAGGTTTAAAAAACAAGTTTGCAGTCCCCAGGTCAAGAAACTCAGCTATAGAGAGAGGGGCAAGTAGCAGCCAGGGAGAATACCGGAAGGAATCCAGAACCCAAAGCAATATGGGTCCCCAAAATGGGTCAGGTGACCAAAAAAACCTCCAGGGGCCTTGGGCATCCTGCATCTGAAAAGGTTAAAATTTGGGGAACTGCAGTCGGATATGTCTGTGAGACTTATCCACCCCACTGCCTTTGGTCTCTTCATAATGCGTCTCCATTTGCCAATTCAGGCAGTTTTGAATCCCAGAGCTGACAAATCTAGGTCTCTGGGTCTTTTCAGTCACCCTGCAGGGCTAACCTAATTGGATTTCAGCCAACTGCCAGGCAGATCGGAGCTCAAGAGCCTGAGGAGAGACAAGTTACATGGAGCTGCCTAAGATATATAATTTGCTGGTGCCTACTGTACATAAAGTGTTCTGTGTCCTTACAAATGGGCTCTGCTGTCCTTGTTAGCTGCAGCAGCACACTCCGTTATCGACTAGGAGAACATCACATTACACCCATCAGCAAACTGCACTGCTAATGAAATACTCAACACTGTGCAGGAGGCAGAGATGAGGGGAAAGACAATAGGATGTGGGAATAATCTTACGTATTACATTCTAACCAGAGAAAGGTCCATAAGGTGATCTCCAGCTAGTCCCTGGTAATTGCCAGATATCTGTGGTTTGAAAAGAGGGAGGGACTTCCCCAGGATGCAGCTACACACAATGAATGAAGCCGGAAGTTATTTTTTTCCCCAAAGCCATGAAATGGAGCACAGATGGGGACTAGGTGGCCTCCCTCTGAGCAGGGAAGGAGTCTGCCTCCCAACTTCACAGGCATTCTAGCCCCACTACAACCTGATTCTCCTGTTGGGCTGGAGCTAGAAGCTTGCTTGTCAACTGTTGGCCAACTGCTGTAGCAGGATCTGTGTCTGAAGGCAAATGAAGTTAAAAATGATTTGGGTCCCCTTGGCTCCTGGCTGCCAGAGAAACCTGAGTTCAAGTCCTGCTTCTGATATATGCTGACTGACATTTAGCAAGTTACTAAAATTCATTGGTGTAGGCAACTCTCTGAAGATTCCCAAGTTGTAGAGAAGGTGTTGACCTGCACTAGTAGTTTCCTTACCTGGGAGTTCCCTTTATTCACTGAAATCATAGGCCCAGGCCCTATTCTTATACATGTACTACCATGTTAATACTTATATACATTATAATACTGTACAAAAAATAGAAATTTTACAAGGATGAGATGCAGATAAAATAACATTTAATTCTAGAGTAAATAGGAAGCCACTGGAGTTTAAATAGAGAAGTGACCATCCAACCTGTGCTTTTGGAAAACCATTGGTAGCTGTGGAACAGATTGAAGACGGAAAAAACTAGGCAAGAAGATGGATTAGGAGATTATTGCAAGTCCAGGTGAGATGATGAGGACCTGAACTAGAGTGGGGCTGTGGGAACAGAGTGGGAGGCCTGTGAGGAATATGGAGATGGAAATTACTTTTGATCAGTTGTTGGGATATGTAGGTGAGGGAGAGTGAAGTTGAGGATAACACCCAGGTTCTGAGCCTGGGTGTCAGGAAATAAAGTGGTCCCCTCCTCAGTAATAAGGGGATTCAGAAGAGGAGTGGGTTGGGGGCAAGGTAATATAATGAGATCTATGGTGCTGCCTGTTCTGTACAACTCACTGTCCCATTGAAAATGGAAGGGTTGGGGAAGAGGTTGCTTGCTTCCGCAGACAGAGCCCAGCAGCTGTTACTGTAGCCATGAGGTAATGAAAGGGGCAGTGACCTGTGGGAATGAGGGTGGGGAAGTTTGCCTTTACAGCTGTCATGGATACCTGGGGTCCAGTAAGGTTATAAGTGCCTGGAGGACCAGTGCCAAAGGGAACCAGTAATGTGGAGGGCCTGGTGGAGGAGAGAAGTATTGAGTGATTATGAGTAAAGAGGCTGATGTAGAGACTGGCCCATGATTGGCTATCACTGGCCCAGCTAGCTTATGCTCAACCCACATTCTAGTTATCACACACCCTTTGGAGTCCAATGCTTTAGGAGAATATAGAAATTCAAAGTGTCTGCAAGGAGTCTCATTAAAGGATTGATGATGCCTGAGCCCCATCCATGCCTTCTCTCACCAAAGCCAACCCAATGGAGAAGCTTTGTTGGCCTCTGAGGAGCAGAAAGCTCTAGGCTGAATGATCCCTTTGTGTAGATAGCTGTTGATCCTGGCAATAGTCTTTTGAATTATGTTCCACAGATATCCCTGCCTTCCTTCCCCACACTCCATACCAAAAGAAAAACCCATAATATCTTATTTTAACTTTAATGGACAAATACAAGTTCAAAAATGCAAGTGAGCAAAAGAAATTGACATCCCCCAGTGATTGCAAATGGAAGGATAGTAACAAAAGTGTCCTGTTTGTTTCCATGTCTTCCACTAGGATATTGTCTTTATTTACAGAACCAGGATATCTAGATTTTTTTTTTTAATTCAGGCATGTGAGGATCTTCTAGTATAGTAATTCCTTTCACGGGTGCAGATCAACTCATTAGCAATTAAGTTCATTAGATCTGTAAGAAACTGGAGGTCAAGAAGTCCCACCTCTTCATTTTACAGATGAGGAAAAAGTTCAGAAGTGCTCATTTGACTTGCCAGGGTTACATAGGTAGTAGACCTGACAGTTTTAAGAGTTTCCTAGGGGCACTGAGTTGTGACATGTCTTTGTAACATAGGTGGTATGATTGAGAGGAAGAATTTGAACCCAAGTCTGCCTGACTCCCAGACAGACTGAGCCAAGCTGCTGCTTCTCATATTTATTCCTATTTGTCATTCCTTGTGGCGCATTATTTCATTATATTCATATATCATAGTTCAATTATTCCCCAGTCAGTGGATAGTTTATTTCCAGTGCTTTTGCCATTAGAAATGTTTGGGATAATGTTGGACAGCTGGGTTGGAGGGGAGGGGTGTTCTGCCTGTAACTTATACATATATGTTTCTGTCTGTATTAGGCACTATGTATGGTACAGTGAAAAGTGTACTATATTTGAAGTCAAGAAATCTGGGTTTGTTATCTAGCCCTGATGCTATCTGCCCAACCTTGAGCAAGACACAGCCTCTCTGGGCCTCATTTTCCTCATCTCTAAGTTGAGGGGTTTTGACTAGATAACTTCTGAGGGTCCTTTCTGTCGTAAAGATACGATCCTGTGACTTTAAGGTATTAAACCCTAAACTATACACAATGCATTCCTCCCAACAATCTTGTTAGGTAGGTAGTGCCTATCATATCCATAGATTTAAAGCTGGAAGCCACTTTAGAGGTAATTTTGCACATAGAGCCTCCTCAGAGCACTCAAAGGTTAGAAAGTGGGCTGTGCATTACCTTCACATTGAAAATATTCTGTGAGCCCAAACTATAGCTTAGAACCTCACCCATGCACTTACCTCTTAATAGTTAACCAATAGACACAATTAGATCAAAACAGTCATTTACTAGAGATAACATCTTAGGAACAACAGTAACAAACCTTTCCTGCCATTAACCTGGGGCAAGCTTTCCCTTAGCTGCTTCAGTGACAGTGGGATGAGTAGGCACCCACAGAGTACAATAATAGAAAAACACATGTGGCCATCGCAAATCATGTTTCAGATCCTGTAGGAGATGATATACTTTCTTTGGGTGGGGCATCTCTGCTGGGCATGTCATTCTTCTGAGTCCTCTCATGGATGGTGCAGTGTCTCCTAGTGACCATATAACTTAGAGAAATTGCCCCCTCATCCTACGAAGCTTTTTCAAGAATTGGTTTCTTCCAGAGCCGGCTCTCTTCTCTCCTACCAGAGCTCACGTCTCTGTTTCTGCCTATATTCAATACCGTTATTGGGTTCCCCCAGCAAACTTGTCTTGCTTTTTAAAATACCTGTCAGTCCTTTGGTCAGCCAATGGCTAGCCACCTTCATTCCATCAAATTTGATTGAACATTTTTATACTCCATAAAGGCAACTGTGTGAACACTTAGCATTTCATGTAAGACCTAAATATTTTAATACCTTGTTGTCTCTGTTAGCTTGCTCCTTCCCTTCTGTGATTTCATAAATTGGGCAGGAGGGAAATCATTTGATTGGGGTGCTCTAACCAGTTACTTCCACCCTCATGAAAATCAAGTATACAATGTACCAGGCACTGAACTGAATGCTGGGGGGGACAAAGAAAAAGCAAAACCAGTCCCTGACCTCAAAGACCTTATATGCTAAGCTATATATAGATGAATTGAGTCCCATGGATATGAAATAGCTTTCTAAGGCCATATACATAGTAAAGTAGCACAGCCACTTTTTATAGATTTTATAGATGAGAAATTGTGGATTTGATTTTTAGAGAGATCCATTTGGCCGAAGATTTTGTGAGTCGTGGATAAGCATGACCAGAATAGGTGATTAGAAAGTAATGAGACTAATTTTGTCATGTATTGACATGAATAAAATAAACACAACTAGGACAAGAAAGGAAGTGGTTTATTGGGGGAAAGAAATCTTTACCTTAAATATCACAAATATATGACCAAGAGCCACAGCAGTGTGGACAGAGGACAGTGAAACACTAGGCTCCTACTCCTGTCCATTTTCTTACCTCACAACCCCTTGGCATCATCCTCCACTCTCTCCAGTCTAGTCCAGCCGTGAGGAACCTGCAGCTTCGAGGCCACATGTGGCCCTTGAGGTCCTCAAGTTTGGCCCTTTCACTGAATCCAGATTTCACAGAACAAATCCCCTTAGTCTAATGAAAAAGTAACCCTTTTCCTCTCCAAGGCCCTCTGCATAAAGCTGTGATCCCTTTTCCTTCCTGTACTCCAGCAGATTATCCCCCTTTTCCCAATCTTCAATCTCTCCATAACTATTGGATTCTTCCCTGCTGCCTACAAACATACCGAGGTGTTTCCCATTCC